GCTGCTAATCTGCTGCCAGTGCTCTAAGCCCTTTCTCTCAAAGTGGTGAAGGACAAACACTGCTCCTGCTAACTTCTGAGGTTCTGTCCCAGGAGCAGGGGGGTCAGATCATCTCTTTCCAAGGAGTAGTGTATAGCAGCTTTCCCTTTGGGGAAATACTCCCTCCCCCACCCCATGTGGCCTTTGTGGGACGACCAATCACGGTGTCTTCTTATCCAGAGGTTGAGCACCTGACCCAAGAGAGGCCAACCAGTCACCCTTCTAGAAACAAAGGAGTTCCCAGGGGAAAGTGATGGGAGTGAGTCATTCCAAGGAAGGTGCTACAGAGAGAATATCTGTTGTTCCAGCTACCTAGTTCTTCCCAAGATCTGACTATTGAGCTCTATGGAAAGCATACCCAATTTCTTTACCAAAAAAGTCTTTTTTATCTTGAGTCAGCCAGAGATGGTTGGGTAGCTTGCAACCGAACCCTAGCTGATACATTTGGGGAAAAAAGATGCTAAAACCCCAGGCTCATTTGTGCCATGAGGAAGCAGCATACTACTAAAGTTTGAAGGAATGCCTACTATGTGCCAGGCTCTGAGCTGGGCACAAGGGTGAGAGGTGAACATGGCGTGCTGCCCTTCAGGGGCGCAGAGTCATAAAATGTATAGAATGTTGGCTTGGGACAGACCTGGATCTGCCCTTACTTCCTGTGGGCCCTTCTTTAAGTCACTTAACCCCCATGTGGCTTAGTTTCAGCACCTAAAAGGAACAAAAAATATCTACCTTTCATGCCTTTTGCCAAAATTTAAAATTACGTGTAACCCCTACCTTTTTGCTTGGCATAGAGTAGATCTTAAATAGATGATAGCATAAGATGGATAACAAGTTTTTATTCTTTTTTTAAAGTTTATTTATTTAACTAATCTCTACGCCCAATGTGGGGCTCAAACTCAAACCCTCTTTATAGGGAGAGAGGCAAAAGATCCAGAATAGCCACCATGATATTGAAGAAACACATGATATTGAAAGACTGACACTCTCCGACTTCGAGACAGAGTTACAGCAATCAGGCAGTGTGGTGCTGGTGAAAGAAGAGGTAGCTAGATCCATGGCAGAAAATAGAGAATCCAGAAGTAGACCCACCCAAATATAGTCCATGCTGACAAAGGAGCAAAGGCAGTCCAATGGAGAAAAGGTAGTCTTTTCATCAAATTGTGCTGAACAACTGGACATCCATATGCAAAAAAACTAATCTAGATGCAGACCTTACAGTCCTCACAAAAAATTAACTCAAAATGGATTATAGACCCAAATGTAAAATGCAAAACTCCTAGAAGATAATATAGGAGAAAACATAGATGACCTTGGGTGTGGAGATGCCTTTTTGGATACAACACCAAATGCATGATCCATGAACAAAAGAATTGATAAGCTGAACTTGATTAAAATTAAAAACTTCTGCTCTGCAAAAGACACTGTTAAGAGAATGAGAAGATACGCCACAGTACTGGAAGAAAACATTTGCAAAAGACACATCTGATAAAGGACTACTATCCAAAATATACACAGAACTCTTAACTCAATAGTAAGAAAATAAACAAACCTAATTTTAAAGTGGGTTTAAGGTCTGAATAGACACCTGACCAAAGAAGATAAACAGATGGTAAATGAGCATATGAAAAGATGCTCCACATCATATGTCATGGGAGAATTGCAAACTCAAACAATGAGATACCATTATATGTCTATTAGAATGGCAAAAATCCAAAACACTGACAAACCAAGAGCTGGTGAAGATGTGGAGCAACAGAACTCTTATGCATTGCTGGTGGGAACACAATATGGTACAGCCACTTTGGAAGACAGTTTGGCACTTTCTTACAAAATGAGACATACTCATCATACACTCCAGCAATCACACTCCTTAGTATTTACCCAAACGGGTTGAAAACTTATGTCCACACAAAAACCTGCACACGGATGTTTAGAGCAGTTTTATTCATGACTGTCAAAACTTGGAAGCAATCAAGATGTCCTTCAGTAGATGAGTGGATAAATAAACTGTAGCACATCCAGACAACGGAATATTGTTCACTGCTTTAAAAAAAAAAAAGACAGCCATCAAGTCATAAAAAGACCAAGAGGAAACTTAAGTGCATATCACTAAGTGAAAGAAGCCAATCTAAAAAGGCTACATCCTGTATGATTCCAACCACATGACATTCTGGAAAAAGCAATTCTGTGGAGACAGTAAAAAGATCAGGGGTGGCCAGGGGTTAGAAGGAGGAAGGAATGAATAGGGTGAGCACAGAAGATTTTTAGGGTAGTGAAACTATTCAGTCAGTTCACTAAAATGGTGGGTGTAAGACATTATACTTCTGTCAAGACCCATAGAACTGTGCAACAGAGAACTTTTATGTAAACTGTGGACATAGTTAATTGTAACAAATGTACCACACTAATGAAGATATTAATAATAGGGAAACTGGGAGGGGAGGGGTGGAGGTTCTATGGGATCTCTGTATTATCTGCTCAATTTTTCCTTGAATCTAAAACAGTTCTAGGGGCGCCATGGTGGCTCAGTTGGTTAAGCCTCCAACTCTTGGTTTTGGCTCAGGTCATGATCTCAGGGTTGTGAGACTGAGCCCTGTGTTGAGCTCCGCAATCAGCTGGGGGTCTGCTTGTCCCTCTCCCCCCACTCTGCCCCTTTGCTTTGCCCACTTGCGAGAGTGCACTCTCTCACATGTGCGCTCTCTCTAAAATAAATAAATTAAATCCTTAAAAAATTAAAAATAAAACAGTTCTAAAAAATAAAGTCTACCAGGGGCGCCTGGGTGGCTCAGTTGGTTAAGCGACTGCCTTCAGCTCAGGTCATGATCCTGGAGTCCCGGGATCGAGTCCCGCATCGGGCT